TTAAAACTCAAGATTGCAAGTAGATTGTGCGTAAGTACAACTTATTAAAGCTCCATATCTGAATTCGTGTAACTAACTGCAGATAAACCTAATCAAATACAAGATAAACATATCATTTTAAATATAAAAATCTAAAATATAATCAGGATAAACATATCATTTTAAATATAAAAATCTAAAATATAATTAGGATAATCATTGAGTTCTAACAGAATACTTAATTATTATCTTTATAAAATGTTATATTATTAAACCAAAAATAAGTTATTTCGTTATTAAACTTAAATTAAATTATAATAAAAAAATAAATTAAAGAAATTACATAAAATTAAGATTTTTAAATAGTTGATTTGATAATAACATTGATATATATATTTTTTTCAAATTTATATTTTATTCAAGAATAAAATCATTAATGCTTTCTTAAAGACACATAAAATCGTATTATAACATCGACAGAGACAAATAATGAAATATAACATTAAAACCGAGATGTGTCTCGCTACATTGTGCGAGTACTCTTTTAGTTATATTATAAAACATTTGACAAAAACTCTTAAAAAACATTTTTTATATATAAAGTACTGCTTATTAATGCATGTTACTTAAAACTTAAGATTACAAGTAGATTGTGCGTAAGTACAACTTATTAAAGCTTTATATCTGAATTCGTGTAATTAACTACAAGTAAACATTATTGAATACAGAATAAACATCTTATTTTAAATATAAAAAATCTAAAATATAATTAGAATAATCATTGAGTTCTAATAGAATATTTAACTATTATTTTTATAAAATGTTATATTATTAAACAAAAAATAAATTATTTCATTATTAAACTTAAACTTATTATAATAAAAAAAGAAATTAAATAGTTGATTTGATATTAACATCGATATATAAAATAAAATCATTATTGTTTTTTTTTAAAAACACATAAAATCGTATTATAACATCGATAGAGACACATAATAAAATAGAACATTAAAATCAAGATGTATTTCGTACCATTGCACGAGTACCCTTCTAGTATATATATGTATATGTGTATTGTGTATATATATATATATATATATATATATATATATAAATCTATATACATGAATAAAGTAAATTATATTTTCCGTCCCTGTGGTTTTTAAATCAATGAGTTTTTAAATAGAAAATCAAAAACAATAAAAAGACTAAAACACCCTTAGACTTAACTTACTTTAACGGACTCAACTAACGATGTTAGGACAAAAGGACCAAAGTCGTGTGAAAATATAAACACAAGTACATTTTCCATAATTATTTTAATTTAGGGATACAAAATATGATTTTATGTAAACTATAGGGACCAATAATGTAATTTACTCTATATTTTATGTTTTAATGCTAGACAAATTTATCGTCTTTCGCCTCTTCAAGGATACAAGTGGGACCTTTATTTGCTCAACTGTAAGATTCCTCTCTCTCTCTACTCTCTCTCCTGCCTGTCAACTCTCCGCAATTTCAATTCAATATCCTCCTCCGTCTACTACAACTTCCATCTCCTCTCCTCCGGGCGGCGGCCATGGGGAATTGCTTTTCCGGCGGTGGCCATGGTCAATTTGCAGTCGGCGGCACTTCATCTGTTCCTGATACTCATGGTTCTAACGATGCCGTAGACAGTTTTCTCAAATCTCGCGGCTTCCCTGGTCCCTTCTCTCAGATCGAGGTCTTCTTCTCTCTCTTATTCAATTCTCTCACCAGAACATTCGTTTATTTTAGTAATATACAGTTTGTACTCACCGATTCCAATGGATTTGTTTATTGTTGTTATTCAGGTTAAGATGTAGAAACATGTTGGCATTAATTGGTAGTAATGAAAAATGTGCTTTGTTGTTGTATTTCGTTTTCGTGGATAAATCCTTGATGGAGAATACTCCTTTCATACGGACGTATAGCGAAGGTGCTGAGTGCTAAATGTTAGCTCTTAATGACTAGGCGTGCTAGAGATGTTAACGTTAGCTCTTAATGACTTGGCGTGCTAGAGATCTTAATGTTATTGTGTAATTAGATTTATCATTTTATGAGAAAGTGATTTGGAATTTCTTGATTCATTGCGGAGCCTAATAGTCTGTATTTTTTACAATTGAAATTGAGATAAGATAAATTGGTTTCATGCACATTGAGGTTGAAACAGCTTATAGTAAACGTAGGATCAAGTTATCTATGTTGTGGTATAAATTGTAGCAGCATTAATAGTTTTATCTCCAATCAAAACATAGATTCCTTTTGAGTATATTTTAAATTGGTTAGTTTTTAGTTTAAAGTGGATGTGGATTCTGAAACTTTTACACAGTACCAATTACCATGTTAAAAATCTAAGGCAAATATTAGAATTCAAAACGCTTTGCTGTTCAATTATATTTTGCATTTGAGAAGTATCTGACGTGGATGCTTAAAAAAAAACTCTGTTTCTTTTCTTCCTGAAAGAGCAGCACCCTCCAGCATAATTTACCTTAGTGGTTAAAATTAGTAACTATGGCATCTTAATTGGTAACCCTTATCTCGATGTTCAATTTCAATAGTTGTACTTCAAAAAAACATGGCTAGCTGTGCATTGGTGTTGTAATCAAATTATGTTATTTGATTACCTAAGCATTTGTTGTACTGATGTTATTAACAAATTGTTGCAGCTGTCATTATCTGCTTCGAACTTGCGTGACAGGGATGTGCTTTCCAAGGTAAGTTTTTCACTTTTTTATGAGGGCTAGAGGTTAAAATTTCATATCTATATACTGGCCGTTTTCATCCTTTATTACCTGTTTAGAAAGTTGATTTGTTAAACACTATATCACACAAACAGAAGAGAGGGAGAGGGAGAGGGAGAGAGGAAGTATTGATACAGGGTTTTAATGAGGTTCAGCCAAGATGCGTATGTTCTTCTCTTTCTATGCCCTTGGGCAGGAGTAATGAACCATAATACAGATCCCCAAATCAGATACTAGAATCGGCCTAACAGAAATATTAAAAAAGTTATAATGGGTCCATAACACTCGGTTCTTGGGCCAGGTTGGTACAAGGATGGGCTGTGGTACCATCTATAACACCCTAAAGCCAAAGCAACAAGCTGACTAAGTAACTTCAAATCCAACTTAAAACCATGGTGGAAGTTATTGGTATCTCACAACTTGATGCTTACAAGGAGCTCACGAATCCCATTTTCTATCCATGTGGGTGGAGTTGTTACACATTTGGAGTGTATAAAACCTCCTTTTCTTGTAGAAGTGATTTGTCAATGATTTCACAAAGTACAACTCTTCCATCTTCTCCCGTACCTTGTTGCAGAAACTTCAGCAGAAATCTCATGGATCACAACATGAAAATCTCACACAAATCCCTTTTCTTCAATCCTGCCTTTTTCCGACTCTTTTATACTTTCTGGAGAATCCTAATAATCGCCTTCCATAACCCTTATAAAACCACAGATAGGGGCCATTTACCCAAACACTTACCCGGTAAGTGCTTACTGGTAAAATTCAACACTATCACTTACTTACCGGTAAGATTTTAGGTCACTAAAACGGCATCATATGCAACAATTTACCCGGTAGGCACTAACCGTGGTAAGAGTCTTCGCCCACACTTACAGGGTAAGACTCTCGGTCCTTCCCTTCGCTCTTAAAGGGTAAGATTCTTGGTTCTTGCCATATTCATCCGGTAAGGTAATGTGACTTGGTAAGTGCTTACCTAGGTAGGTGTTTGGTAAACGGCCCCATAGTCTCGTCCGAATCTTCCACAAATGGATACTAGATCCACAATCTAATTTCTATACATCATACTTTGCTGAAGATGAAGGTGATATCTTCATCCTACAGCGCGGATTGACGTCGTTTTTATACCACTTCCGTAGAAAATTGATTCATTAAAACACACAATCACACTCAAAGAGAAGAGAGGGGGAAAAAGCAAAACAAGGATTTTTTAATGAGATTTGACCAAGATGCCTATGTCCTCGGGTGAAAGCAGAAAGAAATTTCACTATGAACTTGGATAAACCATAAAACAGTGACACAATTACAATCCCATAAAACCCCAAGTGTGTTACCATTCAATTGGGCCAAAACCGGCCTCACAAAACGCATGATTCTTGGGTTGTGGTTGCAATTTAGATCCACCAAAATTCAAGAGACAAGGTTAACAACATCTGCCCTGGGTTCAATTCCAGGCGTCCACAACAATGATGGCCCCTCATAGTTTGACGGAATTAGTCTCGGCATAGTCGGGGACACCTTCCCAGAAATAAAAAGAAAACATTTATATGAAGAGAAGGAACTTCATGGAACTTTTATGCCCTACTCTTCTTGAAGTCATCTTTTGTTGTGAGGGTTGCTACACATATAGCTATTAAAGATTTTAGCTTGGGGGTGGATGTGTAAAAATTAAGAGAAAACGGAACACAAATAAAGGATTGTTTAAAATTTTTATCATGTCCAAAATTCGTGTCCCATGTTAATGCATTTCAATTTCAATGCACTTTAAGAATATTGTGCTCCACAGTGGTTGTGGCATAGTCGTTGAGGCCCAGGGGATGTGATGGAATATTCCAGGCGTACAAAACAATTGTGACCCCCGAGTTTATCAAGGCTGATTTCTTGCTGTCACAATTTTGCCGGAATTAGTCTGGGCATAGCCTGGGACGTTCTTCCAAAAAAGAATATTGTTCTCTTTGCAGTTCTTTATGCTGGTTGATATCTCAGTATTTCACATATCTGTGTTCTGTTTATAGAGTGATCCTATGGCAGTTGTATATACCAAAGGAAAGGATGGCTCGTTGCAGGAGGTTGGTCGTACAGAAGTTATTCAGAATTCGTTAAATCCCCAATGGATCACGAAAGTTAAAATTACTTATTATTTTGAGATGGTTCAAAAACTCTTGTAAGTGCTAGTAGGTCATGTGTTCTATTTTCTTACAGATACACATTTCTATCAATTTCATTGACACAAATAATCATTGTATATCGTAGGTTCCATGTGTATGATGTCGATACTCAGCTTCATGGCCCAGAAGTAAAGGTATAGCACATAACTTTTTTTGTCAAGTAGTTCTTTTTAAGAACATGAAACTCCATTAATCGTCAGTCACTGATATGATTTAAAGCGGATTAGTGCTGTCAGCTAAAATTGGCAACTTAATCAGTATGTCTAAGGGCCTGTTTGTTATCAACTTAATGAGCTTAATGGGACTAAGAGCTTATTAAGTCAGCTATACGTGACTGTTTGGTAGTGGCTTAATGATATAGAAAGTGGTTTCTTCAGTAAGCTTAAGCTTTATGCAGAAAACCAAGTTTTTTTCAAACATGTCCATCTCAATTAAAAAACACACTCCTTCCATCTATGAAAAAACCTTCCCAAATACAAACCTTCTCAATCTATACAAACAAATTAATCCACACAGATAACTTTATCCTATATGGATAGAGTCCATAAAGTCCTCTATGGATAAAGTCCATATAGTACCATAACATGATTCTTATTTTTTTTTTTCTCCACACTTAAGCTGGACGATCAGCAATATTGGTTGATTTTCCACAAAGTTCTATATGGATAAAGCTGTCTGTATGGATTAATCTTTCTGTGTAGATTGAGAAAGTTTTTTTTTGAGAGGGCTTTTTTTTATAGATGGAAGGAGCGTGTTTTTTTAAATTGGGAGGGGCAGATTTGGAAAAAAGTTGGCTTTTTGAATAAAGCTCCACCCTAAAAGCTCACTGAATAAGTCACTTTCTATATCATTAAGCCACTACCAAACAGTCATGTCTAGCTGAACGAATAAGCTGTGAGACCCATTAAGCTCATTAAGTTGCTAACAAACAAGCCCTTATACTACGCTATAGTTGTTGCTCCATGTTAGTCAACTGCAAACCACATGTCTTCCTGCGTTAGCCCGAAGATATTCTCATTACCTTGTCATCACATTACTTGTACTCACTGATATATGCCATCAAGTACCATAATGTGAATCTTTTTATTTTTTATCCAGACACTTAAGCTGGACGATCAGCAATATTTGGGTGAGGGTACTTGTACGTTGTCTCAGGTATTGATATTTTTTTTCTGTTTGCTCTTTCAGTTTCATTATAACTTACAAGTAATGGCAGCCTATGAAAATTTTGCCAGTTTAAAGAAGAACATAGGATTGTTCAGGCTGGGTGCTAAAACAATCTTCTAACATCCATATTTGTTTACTGTGGTGGGAAAACTGCAAAAAAATGAAAAACTGAGGAACACCTGGTAACTGTTCATTCGGATTGTATACACATGTGCATACAAGTAACTGAAGCTGTTTTTTGGTTTTTATGCACTTGTGCATGTTATGCACAAGTGCATACGGGTGTTCCTCTGCTTTTCATTTTTTATTGGGGTTTTCCACTGACCCCCTGGTTTACTGAATTATTGATATATTAAAGGTCAATGATGGGTGTAGACTTTTTGATTGGCACAACTGGCCTCTCTTTTCGAACCAGCTACCGATTTTAGAGTTCCGTTTTTGTTGAGTGGTTTGAATATATCACCCTCTAAATATAGGACACAATAGTCTCTTTCTTAGTCTTATGCCAGACATTCTGGTCATCAAAGTATGTTTATTTTACTTCTATATATTTTATAAATTTCTCTTCTATGAATGGTAGTTCTTGATTTATGATCCGTAGGTTCCATATCTCAAGTTTATTCGGGACCAAATTTTAGAATTAGCTTTGACTACCTATTATATGCACTGAAAACTGCAGTTAAATTCACGGATGATTTCATTTCCATGTAGATAGTCGCTGATCCAAAGCGCTCACGGACCTTAGATCTTGTGAGTATTGCCGAATCTACAGAGTCGAGTTCAAGAAAACTTGGACAGCTTACTGTTCATGCAGAAGAAGAAACTGTCTCCAAGACTACAGCAGAGTTGATATTTAAGTGCACCGATTTAGAAAATAAAGATTTTTTCTCCAAAAGTGTATGGACCTTCTGATCATTTATTCTGTTTTGGGATTATCATAAATGCATCGACTCATTTCATATTGTTTCTTACAGGACCCTTTTCTAGTAATTTCAAAATATGTGGAGAGTGGGGCTACCGTTCCAATTTGCAGAACAGAGGTTCTGAAAAACGATCTAAAACCTGTGTGGAAACCCCTTTTTTTGAACATATCACAAGTTGGAAGCAAGGTAAACAGTTTATCCTGCAGCTACATGGGACAACCCTTCATCGATTTCCTTTTTTTGAAATGGCAAGGAAGTCGTACCACATACATCTATGAAGAGACAAACTCACCACCAATGGTTGAGACTTTTTCTTGGAAGGGTGTCCCAGGCATAGTTTGGACTAATCCCGGCAAATTGTGACCGCAAGAAATCAACCCGATAAACTCGGTGACCACAATTGTTGTGTATGCCTGGAAACGAACCTGGGCAGATGGATATTTCACCACATCCCCCAAGGACCTCAATCACTACGCCACAACCCTTGTGGTTGGTTGTAGAGACTTGATTGGTACATTGGACAACCTGCATTGATTCCTATGTAGTTCA